TGAGATAACTTCTCCCATACTCAAGAGTGATGAATCCTCTATCAATCCACCATAGTCTTGATATACTTCTCGATGCAGCCAATCACTACCATATTGACAGCTCTGAATAGAACTGCGTTGGGCTAGTGTCAAACTACACCGATCGGTGCACAAGGTGCTTCGATGATCTCAAGTCTAAGGATCGCATACACCACCATTCGTTAGAGGATTTGTTCCATAGACACTAGGGTTACCATCTATATGGAATCGTTTGGTGGGTCAGTCTAGTAAACTTGTCTACAACAAGCACCTATGTGTTGCATCAGGTTGTCACCCAACTGTTGGAGTAGATGCCCAAGAGCCAATCAATTATTGTAGAATTGACTCTTTGTAATAATGTTCATTGATCAATAAAAGATATTTTATACTATGTCGCGTAAATCATCATTGTATGTATTGATATATGTCCTTAGAATGGTATAACCGTGACAAGGGTATCAAGTGTTTCAAATCTTGATAGTGAGAACTCAATGAGCACATATGATGGCCATTCTAGAAACGTCCGTAGCCTCAGTATTATTCTGAAGTAAGGGCACAAATAATACGGTAAGGCTATCATAGTGTTGAACGACCATGTCGAAAGGCAGTGACTGATCTCACTTGTCAAGGTTGTTTGGTGACAACCTAGTGCAATACATGGGTGCTTACTGTAGGCAAGTTCTCTGAACTGACCCACCAAAGGATTCCATATGGATGGTAACCCTAGTGTCTATGGAACAAATCCTCTAATGAATGGTAGTGCATGTGATCCTTAGACTTGAGATCGTCAGAGCGCCTTGTGCACCAATTGGTGTAGTTTGACACTAGCCTAACGCAGTTTTATTCAAAGCTGTCAATATGATGGTGATTGGCTGCATCAAGGAGTGTATTAAGACTATGGTGGATAGACAGAGAATTCATCACTCTCGGGTACGGGAGAAGTTATCTCACAACGCAATTCAGTAAATAGCAATGACACTAAAACTGTGGCCATAGTGGAATTGAGTTATTGCTCTATCCAGTTTATAATATAGGTCATTGGTCCAGTAACTGAATACACAATATCGAGAGTAATCGAATGTTGACACTATTTCTATGCCTTGGTCTCGTCAAGATAACGGATGATGAAAGGATCGAATTGTACGGTAACCATATTGTTGACAGGTAGTTACTTTGCTGAATCCGAATCTATCGAGTGGTCATGATGCCTTGCTAGGGGTCAATCTTGGTCTATGTTTAGAGAGACGATTAATTGGTGTTAATCGCGATACTACACACTGCCGGTAAGATGAGGAGCCTATGGGTCACACACATAGAAGATAATTTAAGAGCCAGAAAGAAAGAAAGACGTTTTTGTCTTTTTAGGCGAAAGGGTATTTTGGTAATTTCACAGTGCAATTAAATTTGCTGAGGTCGTGGCTTTATTTAATTTGTTAGAAAAAAAAAAATTAGTGAGATTACGCTTAAATATGTGTTCGTATTCATTTAAATAAGTTATCATTATTGTTAAATGTTAATATATTAAATATATATACTAATTGATTTTAATTGAGATAATGATAAACTAAAATTAAAATATATAATTGGGAGTGTTTGGAAACAAGGGGTGTTTGGGTTGGAGCCCAAGCCTATTCCATAAGGGAATATGGCAATTAAACTTTTACTATATAAGTAAAAGTTTAATTGAGAGAAAGTTAGAAGTTTTTCATTTCATTCTTTTCATTGAAAAGAGAAAAACCACAGCCCCAAAACACTCTCTAACGTCATATTGGTTTTTGCCTAAAATCAGAATTCCTTTGTTTTCTTTTCTTGTTTCTTAAGACTAAAGAGGATCTAGCAAATCTCTCTTTAATTCCTTGCGATTATCTTCGTATGGACTACATCTGTTTGATCCTACACTTGGGTCGGTAGCAAAATACGTTCAGAGACAAAGTTGGAGGAGCCTCCAAACGTGCGTATGATTTCTTAAACTCTAAACTAATTTTCTGCAGATTCTTATTTTGATATAAACAGTAAATTTGTGCCCTGATCTTGGTTCTATGGAACGATCCGTGTTGTTAAATATCTTTTGTTTTCCGCTGCGTTAATGGATCGGTTCCTAACACTAACAACCTTGACAAGTGAGATCTGTCACTGACTCACTGCCTTTCGACAGGATCGTTTAACACTATGATAGTCTTAATTTATTATCTGTGCCCTTGGTCAGAATGGTACTATGGCTATGGACATTTCTAGAATGGCTACCATATGTGCTCATAGGGTTCTCACTATCAAGATTTGAAACCCTTGATACCCTCGTCATGGTTCTACCATTCTAAGGACATATATCAATACATACAACTATGGTTTACATGATATAGTAGATAATGCCTTTTATTGAATAATAAACATTATTACAAATAGTCAATTCCACAATAATTGATTGGCTCTAGGGCACCTACTCCAACAATAACAACTTACAAGATGAACATTTTGCTGCCATATTCCAAGCTTCCAACAACTCACAGTTGTGTTTGCCAATATATGGTGTTATGCTTTTTGTACATGAATTTGTGGGATCTTTTATGTCACGCCTTAATTTTTTAGTATTGTTCTTCTTGAATCTTGATATTAAACTTATGATATCATCATATCAGTATACTTAAACTTATTATGTCATGTTTTGCAATGTAAATATGTAATTATCTTTCAATTTCATGTAATTCGTATTTAATTGTTTTTTTTTTTTTTTTTTTTTTTGTTCAGTCGAGCTCGAATTTGAGCTACAACTCGATTTTGCACTCGGCTAAAATCAAGCTTGCTCGAATTCGAGCTAACTTGAGCTCGATTAATCGAGCTCGAGTTCAATTCGAGCTTCAAACAGTATCACGAGTTCGAGTTTGATTTGGTTTTCTAGGCTCGATATGGCTCGAGCTGTTGCAATAGTAATCGAGCTAGCTCGAGCTCATTGAATGTAATCGAGCTCGACTCGATTAGGGAAAAATTGGCTTGGCTCGGCTCGGCCGATTACACCCCTATTTGTGTTGCCTGTGGGTCTTTTGAGGTAGTAATTCTCAATATTTTCTGACTTTCTGGCCTTTTCTTTTTTTTTCTTTTTTTTTTTTTTTTTTGCTTTATTGTTGATTTTTAACATTCATTGTGGTTCTTTGTTCATCTTTTATGCTCTTTATGAAAAAATTGTATTCAGTTTTGTGATAGATTGGTTTGTTTGCAAGGCATGTGGGATTTGGCGCTAGATACTGATCTATTAATAGAGCTGCCAAAAGAATACACTTTTAAAACTGCTATTGCAGATTTGATTGTATGTTGTTGGATGCAATTGAAATAATTGAAGAAGTTTTGGCTTTTTGGTTTATCTTTTTAGTTTATGTAGTCGCTTATTCTCTACTGCTTATTTACCAGGATAATTCCTTGCAAGCCATATGGACCAATCGTGAAAATGATAAGAGATTAATTAGGTATGACATTTGTATGATGATCACATTTTTGCTTTGCTGCCTATTATATTTACTTTTATGTGTTTGTTTTGTAGATGCTTAATTTTCATGCTGTTTACTGCATATTCCTATTTTTCCAATTCTTTACAATGTGAAACCTCAAATCTAGTATCATCAACCTGGCCAGTGAACATGCAAATTAATTAGTTCATATGCGAATTGATGAATTCCATTATTTTTCAGAATACTTTTATTAACATTCACTTCATTGTAAACAGAAATAGTAAAGTTTGACCACAAAATAAATAAATAAATATAAACTAGTTTTCTTTAGAAAACAAAAATTATCATGTATCACAACATAAAAGTTCTTATGAAAATTATAATACAAATGATAACAAGAAAAAAAATCATTACTTAGTTTTTTAACTTCTCTATTACTTCTACTAACCAAAGCAAAAGAACTTTTCTTTTCCATTGTTTGGTTTTCATTACTTTTATTTACAAAATTACCAAAATAACTTTGATCAACATTTGTGATCATTCTCATCAAGATATTAATTCTGTCAATCAACGGTGGTCAACGTCAATCAATAATACCTATTTTAATAATATATCTTAATAATAATAAAATGCTCTTTTTACAATCAAAGGTAGTTACTCGTAAAGATAAAGGTCAAAAAACATGTTGGCGCTAAAGAAGATTCAACTGTTACCGTGAATGGCTGTAACATCACTAGTCAAAAGTCTTTAAAGCAGCAAAGGGATGATTCTTCTACCGGAGCTGGTCTAATTTTGAGGAGTATCCTCATGGTGTTTGTGTGGCTGGCGAGTGGGCCTCGTGCTTGGCTGTGGTTGTTGCTTGTGTTGGGTTGGCTGGGTGGTTATTTTGGGTGTTGGGCTGGAGAAGGTGCAAGTAGGTGGAGGGGTTTGAGGGTTGCTCTGAGATGGGGTAATCCGTTTTGGTAGGCTGGCTGCTTTCCTACTGCGGTGGGTGCTGTGTCTCCTGTTTCCTGCTGCGCTAGGTGCTTCGATCAAGAATTCATTTTCTTCAAATAGTCATAGTACAATATAAATTCTTTTATTATTATACATCATGGGAAGCCATAGCAAAAGCATTAAACTGTTCACTAGATGTACTACTTTTCTATGGAAGATAAGACATTTGGCATTACCAAATCTAAAACTTAAACATTGAAAGGAAGAACAAGAAAAAGAATACAAAAAATAAAAGAAGGAAACACAAGAACTCAACATCTAAAGGGCCTAACTCATCACTAAATCTAAAACTTTACTACCCTTAAACTTCCTCTCTCTAACCCTTTTTTTCAGTTGTCTCACTACAGTCCTCTTCTCTTCTCTTCTACTAGCTAAAATATTGGTTGTCTACTGCTTCTAATTCCACCATTCCATCACTGTAAAAAATCAAATGAACGAAAAAATGAAATAACAGTAAGCAAATAGCAAATTAAGCCCAGAAAAACAGCCGGAAGGAGAGGAGAAATATTCCAGACTCGGAATATTGCTCTCTGCGTCAGCTTATACCTCAAATGTATTCCAATGCAAGGTTGTTACTTATTAGAAATCAGCTCCTGGGAATTGGTTATCATTTTCTCAATCCCTCCCATTGCATGTTTTTCACCACCTTTGCTTCTCATTTCAAGAACCTTCTCATGGGAATTGGAGTGCAAGGATGGAACAAATGTTGGGCTGGCTCTAGGCCTGTATTCGGGGAAGAGCCTGCCTGATTTGTAACGAACACCACATGCATTGCAAAGGGTCTTCGGTCCCAACGGTCCTGCCCTCCATTGTGGTGTCCTTGTTATCTCACAATGCATGCATTTCCTAACTGCTTGAGTTGGTTGGTTTTTATTATTCTTGGTAGAATCTTGGAGAGTTGTAAATTTGATCTCTCTCTTCTTATACTCAGAGTTAAATTGCTTCGGTATATTGGCCACAAGGTGAGACTCAGCAAAATTCTCAGAATCAGAGGGGACCTTAGGGGCAACAAAGGGCTGCTGCGCCTCAGTGACTGAGGAAGTCGGTGAGATAAGTTGAACCGGAGGGCAAGTATTAAAAGTTGCAGGGCAAAGACGCTTGCTGCGAGCACGTCCTCCTCTTCCAGGGTCAAGCATTTCAGGGCTGCCCAACAATGACATGAACCATCTTGTTCATTTTTGCATGCACACTCACACAAATCATGCATTCACTTATAATAGTGAGTGAATAAATTAAGGGGCAATTAATACTTAAAGACTAACTTGATGAAATTATTTTTATGGTTTTAATGATTTAGAATAATGAAATTATATAGAATTTATAAGCAATTACAATAAAGTTAGATTTCACTTTGTAGTTCTTTAAAATTTATCAGAACATTCTTAGGCAGGATATTGATAAAGAAGACATTGCAAAGCATTAAACTGTTCATTTACAGTACTACTTTTCTATCTTTAATAATTCAAACTTTTTTCAAATTCCTAGTTTTAATTTGTTGAAGAAAACCCATAAAAAGATAAATAAACATTCATAATATTCTGTAACAAAAGGCCCTCAATATCAGCAAACATTGTCTAAATTCCAGTTCTAAGAAAAGAAATTAAAAATTGATAAGAACAGACATGTAGTCAATCTTTCCGCCCTCTCTCTAGTCTTGGATTAAAACTCCGCTCCTGTTTCTAAAAATGACCAACGATACCTTAAAGAATTCCCCTAAAGGAAGAAAAATAACATTTGATTTCTTCTACAATACTCATGATGGAGAGAACAGTCAACATTACCTTCAGTTTAAACACCAACTCTTACAATTTTTATGGTTCTACAATCTCACGCAACTTGATTGTATTACATGGAAAATAATCAAGTAAATGGCCATACCATATTTATAATAACTTCTTCAAAAATGTCTCCTTATGGGAGAAAACACATTTGGTCAAGGTCCATTACCATCCTACGATATAACATGTTCTGTAATTTTATAGCATCTTTGGATTTGCCCACATTGAGAAACAAGAGTTAAAAAACTCAAAGCACAGCTGAAAATGACTCAAAATTCAACCTTTATAGAGCTTCAGACACCATTAGATGTTACAAGTAAAAATATTTACATATAAAATCTTTGGCTGCAATCACCACAAGGCATAACGAAAATCTATCTCCAAACAGGACAAATAATTGATATAAACATGCCAAAACAAATTTTCTCTCAAGCATCTTAATCCCAATCATAACTAAAAGATCAAATAAAACGCTCCTGAAACACCACTAAGCCCAAACTTCAGGACTATTTAACACAACCAACTCCAAAACAAATACTATTAACACAAATCAAGAAGTAAACTTACTTGCCATTGATCCTTTCTATAACAGAAATAAGCCCTTGAGTGCCAAACTTCCCATCTCCATTCGCCACCATTGCCGAAAACATCTGCGTGCCCAATGCAGCACCAGGCAACACCACCACTCTCTCAACCTCGCTCTCCTCCACTACATCCACACCCATTCCCATGTCCTTCACCATATACTCTGCAAACCCACCTGGCCTAAAGTCCTTCTCAATCATTCTCTCCCCAAACAACTCCATCACCATTGACCCCGCCGCGCCTCCCCTCACTGATTCTCTCCACTTCCTCACATCCAATCCCGCCTTCTCTGCAAACACCAGTCCTTCACTCAGCCCCATCAAGTTCGCTCCCACCACAATTTGATTAGCAATTTTGCAGCTTTGCCCGCACCCCGCCTTGCCTATATACGTATGCTTCCCCATTACTTCAAACAATGGCGATAACCACTCCACAACCCCGCCATCACCCGCCGCAAAGATAGCTAATTTTCCATCTCTTGCGCCAATGTCACCCCCGGAAACTGGGGCATCCACAGCCCAACAATCTTTATCACGAGTGGCTTTAAAGATTTCTCGAGCAAGAGCAGGATGGCTACTAGTAGTATCAACGAGTACAGCACCAGGGTTTAGCCCGGAAAGAATACCGTTGTTCTCTAAGACAACGGATCGAACATCTTGTGGGTTTCCCACCATGGTGAAGACGACGTCGCTCGATCGAGCCACGTCGTGGAGGGAGTTCACGAGAGTGGCGCCTTTGGATTGGAGAGGAAGGGCTTTTGACGGGTTTCGAGCGAAGATGGTGAGGCAGTAGCCGGCGGAGAGAAGGCGAGAGGCCATGGCTGCGCCCATCGCGCCGATGCCGATCCAGCCGACGCGGGTCTTGGTGGGAGAAATGGGTTTTGGGTAGGGAGTTTCCATAGTGAGTTGATGAAGTTATCAAGTAGATTGAGGTTCTTGAGCTGCTGGTGAATCAAAAATTGAAGGAAATTGAGTGGAGAAGTTGAAGATGATTTACTTCAACCAAGGAAAGATTTTGAACCAGAAATTTTGTAAAGATGATAATAAATATTAGGTAAAGATTTGGAGAAATTGAAGTCAAAATGGTTCCTAATGAATCAAATCAGAAACTTGGAACCACACATTTGCATAATTATTTCTACAAAAGATTCCATTGAAGGTTTTTATATGTAAGATTAGTGAGTTCGTGGGTGAAATGAGGGGTGCTTTGTCATAATTCAATGTCTGCTGGAGTCTAAGTTGTGCATGTGTTTTGACAGAAAACCAGTGTGCCCCCCAAGGTTTCAGAAAGTTACACTTTTCTGGCAATTATGCCGATTTTAATCAAAAATGCGACCCACAATTTCTGGAATGCATCAAATAAGGACCACCACTATTATTTATTTAAATGGAATTGTATTTCCCTTCTTCTTTTTCTTTTTTTAACTTCAATTACTTTATTTGTATTTTGGTATTATATGATTATGGATTTTTTACGCATTTCAATATATGTGTGTTTATGAATATAGTTTAATTCTATTACAAAATTATCTGTAACAGCTTAATGATGTTATATTTCAATATTCAATTGGAAAGAAAAAAAAGCATTAGTAAAGGTTTTAATGGGTTGGGTTTGGGTAACACGTTTAAAATACTGTTTGCTTTTGAGTTTTCATATTTGGTCCCAATAAAACTAACGGGTTGGATTTCCCGTTAGTTTTATTGGGACCAAAGATTAGCAAAATAACGAGTTTCCATCCCTGGTTTTTTTAATTCCAAATTCCTACCCTCAAATTAACAGAAAATCGTTTAATGTAACGGTCAAAGGGTAAAGTGGTCATTTGCACTGCACTAAATTTGAAATGAAAATACAAATTTCAAAATAACCCTCTACATCTCAAATTTCTCTCATAAGCACCCTTGAGAAATAGCCCAACAATCTCTACAAGTTTGAAATCTTTCGATCGCACCCCTGCAATAGAAAAACCCAAATCCGCCACAACAGCCAAAACCGTCGAAGCAGCAATCCCTGCAATCCAACCTAGATCCGCCGTGGAGAAGATGAAAGGAGAAAGAGAAAGAGAAAAGAGAAGAGAGAAAGAGGCGGCAACCAACAAAATAACACAAGAAAACCAACAAACAAACCACAAATCATCAACCAACTCCCAAAAAAGCCCTAGGGAGAAGGGGCTTCAATCGATGTTGAAAGGTGAGCAATTGATGATGGAAAGCATGGGGTTACTAGAGAGGGTTCTTTGATGAGTTAAATGATGGGCTCGGTGAAGATTTTCAATGACGTGGTTGGTTGGAAAGAAGCTGGCGGAGTGCGATACTTAATGGGTTGGGATGGTGAGGCACCGAGGAGTTGGAAAATTGGGTGGGGGCCATTTCCATTGTCAAAAAGTGCCAGAAAGCGGCCAGGCACGACACTGTCCATGAGCATCGTTGCCTACTAAAATGCATCAAGTAGAAGAGGGTGTTATTGAAATAAATTTGAAAGTAAGATGGTTATTTTTCAAATGATGCTAATTTGGGAGTTAAAAATTAATTTATTAATTTATTTGTCAAGGGCAATTTACTAATAGCATTCTCTATATTGTATCATAATCCAAAAATCATTAATGATGTTATTTTAAAGATGAGAATCTGGAGTAATTAAAATGAGCGTTGGAAACTTGCCATTTGGCTAATATTTGGGGGGAAACGTGTCAAAATTTAACACAACACGGATGAGACTTGATATGAAACTGCTTTAATACGACAAATTGCAGAAAAAAATTATGGTTAACAAGACTAAAAGAACCCATAATCCATTACCTACCCCAGCATTTGTAAGAACAGATCATGTTTCCAATTCCATTTACTATTATTTATTACTTGGAGCATGGACCCATGTGACCAAAGTTGTCTTAATAATACAAAATGTTACTACCAATTCCCCGTAACTAAAAAATTAATTTCCATTAAGTAGCCAATTCATTTGCTAACTTCACTTCAAAACCAGATTCAATCACTAAAACCTGCAAAAACTTCACTTCAAAGCTTCAATCGCAACTCCTTACCCCACACCCATCTCTCCTTCCCAAACCCGCACAGGCCTCATGGGCTCACCCATGGCCTTACACCTCCTCTCCTTTGGCTACTCCCTCTCCATCTACGCTCGCAACCCTTCAAGAGCTCTCCAACTCCAATTTAAAGGAGCCCATCTCATCAACTCTCCACAAGACCTCGCTAAAATCAGCGACATCGTTTTCACCATAATCGGCGGTCCACTCGACGTCCGCTCAATCATCCTCAGCCCACAAGGCGTCCTCGCTGGCTTAAACCCGAGCAGTGTCATTGTTGACACTAAAAGCAACCACCTTGCAATCGCCCGCGAGATTTTCAAATCCGCCTGGGAAAAAGACTGTTGGAGCGTTGACGCGCCAGTTTCAGGCACTGATGTGGGTGCGAGAGAAGGTCGATTAGCCATACTAGTTGGCGACGACAATGGAGTTACTGAGTATTTGGTGAAGGATTTGGGAATGGGGTTGGATTGTTTGGAGGAGAGTGAAGAGGGGAGAGCGGTTCCGTTGCCCGAAGCTTCATTGTGCAAGCAGTTATATTGTGGTATGATTACTAAGGGTGATGAGAAGCTAGGGCTTCAGGGTTTGGTCATTGTCATAGAAAGTAGGGGTGAGCACGGGTAAGAGGTATAACTGGAACCTGTGGGTAAGTTCTGGTTCCATTTTATTGGAATCGACACTGTGCGATTCTAGTTCCGGTTCTTATGTGTAGAGGAACCGGAACTTGGAAAAAGAACCTGAAACGGGTACCCAGTTTGGAACCTGCTTGGAACTTGTAAGGGGTACCCCGTTTAAAACCTGTTTGGAACCGATTTTTGGAACCTGTTTTGGAACCGATTTTTGGAACCTGTTTTGGAACCTGGGCTGCAATAAAATATTTGTGAATAATGGGGGGTTTCATTATTTTACATATAAAAAAATTTAAAATAGAAAAAGTTAAATTTTTAGAATAACCTAATTAAATAAATATACAATTATACTTATTGCATATGAACTATACCATATTAAAAACTTTAATATATTATAATATATTAATATTAAAGTTTTGATTAATTAAGTATATAATTAGAATTAGGGTCCAATTAAAAGTGTTTTAATGTTATTAAGATAATTATTTTTGAATAAAATAGTATAGTTGTTTGAATAATAATATATTTAGTTATTTACTTTAATTATCAAGTTCTAAGTATATCTATAGTAAATTAGCAATTAATTAATTATATATGATAAATTAATAAATATTAATAAATTTAATTACTAGCTAAATGTCATACTTAATCAATTATAACATTACATTATAGTTAAATGATTACTTAATTAATTATAATTTTATAATATTACTTAATTGATTTATATTATAATTAATTATAGCATTACATTAATTGATTATTACTTAATTAATTGACTTATAACATTTAGTATATTACTTAATTAAATAATTAGAAATTTAATTAATTATATCATTACATTATATATTTGTAGTATAATTACTTAATCAATTATAACATTTCATTATAAACATTAATACAATATTTAATTAAATAATTAAAAATTTAATTAATTATAATATTACATTAAAGATTTATAATATGATTACTTAATTCACTATAACATTACGTCATAGTATGATCACATAATTAATTATAATATTACATAATTAAATGATTACTTAATTGATTATGACATTATATTATAAACATTAGTAATTATTAATTTACTACATAAACATTAGCACAATACTTAATTAAATGATTATAAATTTAATTAATTATAACATTGCATTATAAATTTATAATACGATTACTTAATTAATTGTAACATTACATTATAATTAAATATTTACTTAATTAATTATAACATTCTATTATAAACAAATTAATTATAATATTATGTTAAAGATTTATAGTATGATTACTTAATTCATTATAATATGATTACATAATTAATTATAACATTACATAATTAGATGATTATTTAATTAATTATGACATTATATTATAAACATTAATTATAACATTACATTATAAATAAATGAGTACTTAATTAAATGATTATAAATTTAATTAATTAAGCATTACATTATAGTTAAATAATTACTTAATTAAATTATATTATATTATGATCTCTTAATTAATTATAGCATTACATAGTTAAATGATTACTTAATTAGTTATAAATTTATAATATTACATTATAAATATTAGCAATTTACTACATTATTACATTACTTAATTAAATGATTAAAAATTTAATTAATTATAACATTACATTATAGATTTATAGTATGATTACTTAATCAATTATAATATTCCATTATAAACATTAGTATATTAATTAAATGATTAGAAATTTAATTAATTACAATATTAAATTATAGATTTGTAGTATGATTACTTAATTCATTATAACATTACATTATAGGATGATCACATAATTAATTATAACATTACATAATTAAATGATTACTTAATTGATTATGACATTATACTATAAACATTAGTAATTTACTACATAAACATTAGCACAATACTTAATTAAATGATTAGAAATTTAATTAATTATAACATATTAACATTACATTACAAATTTATAGTACAATTACTTAATTAATTGTAATATTACATTATAAACAAATGATTACTTAATTAAATTATTACGTAATTAATTATAGCATTATGACATTACATTATATTATGATCACTTAATTAATTATAGCATTACATAGTTAAATGATTACAATTAGTTATAAATTTATAATATGACATTATAAACATTAGCAATTTATTACATTATTATATTACTTAATTAAATGATTAAAAATTTAATTAATTATAACATTACATTATAGATTTATAGTATGATTACTTAATCAATTATAACATTCCACTATAAACATTAGTACATTAATTAAATGATTAGAAATTTAATTAATTACAATATTAAATTATAGATTTATAGTATAATTACTTAATTCATTATAACATTACATTATAGTATGATCACATAATTAATTATAAAATTAAATGATTAAATGATTACTTAATTGATTATGGCATTATATTATAAA